CCCATGGCGGCCTCGGGCCATGTCGGCACACCCCTCACGAGGATCGTGGCCCCATAGGGAGCTCCACCGAAGGCGCCAAGTGGCAGGGTTCCCATGGCGGCCTCGGGCCATTTCGGCACACCCCTCACGAGGATCGTGGCCCCACAGGGAGCTCCACCGAAGGCGCCCAGTGGCAGGGTTCCCATGGCGGCCTCGGGCCATGTCGGCACACCCCTCACGAGGATCGTGGCCTCATAGGGAGCTCCACCGATGGCGCCGGTAGCAAAGAGCGCATGGCGGCAGGAACCCAGAATATGTGGAAACATAGGGGAAATCCTTTTATTTGTATGTATTTATCTGTGTGTCCCAGGGCCCATTCACAAGAGATGGGGGTCGGCGTCACGCCAACATCGGAGGTTGGGGGGCGAGATCGCAGTGAAACGGAGACCCCCCACGGGGAAATCGGTTTCGGTTTCGTGTTCGTGTCGTGCGTGCGGGCGAGGCGAAGCTGCGCGTAATCCTCCTGTAGCTAGGCCGGGACCTCCCCTGAGATTGGGGCTCAAGAGACGGGGGTCGGTGCAAACGGGGGTCAGCCAGAGCGCCCCGATCTTGCAGGATCCTGCAGCGCCAGGGTCGCATTGACCCGGGTCTGGGTGCAGGGTCCTGCAGGATTCAGCAGGATCTTCCGCATTGACCTGGGTTTGGGTGCAGGATTTTACAGGATCTTGCAGGTTTGCTTCTGTGGGCCGGAGACCCCCTGGGATTTCTCTGAGTCGGCGTCACGCCAACATACTCATACTACATGCGCGTCGCCCCCCCGGGGCGACGCGCGCACCGAGAAATCTTCTAGTATATGCGTCGTGGCGCGCGCTTTCTGGCCACATCGCTCGGGAAACGATATACTACAAGATGGGTATACTATATGTTCGGATCGGACGTGCGCCTCCGAGGCGGACATAGTACTAGTATGTCGCGTTCCACTGAGATCCTGCCGTTTTTGCTGTTTTCTGTTGGCGTGGTCGGGGCCTGGGGCTGCGCCGAAGAGTGAGCGAAAAACCTCCTCGATCTTCCCACGACGTCTGAAGGCGTGGCTAGCCCTCCTCGGAATCTGATCCCCGCATTTGTCCAGCGGTGCAGGTGAACTTGGCCACGGCGACGAGAGCACCCAAGGGTGGGTGAACTGTCTTCGGCGCGGCGTCTTACAGGTAGGCCTAGGTGAGCACGACTCGCTCCAGAGCGTTCTGGAGAGCGTTTAGGAGCGCTCCGGAACGGCGCGGCGCCCGAGACGTCCTCCAGACTCGCCGGCTCTCAGCGACTCCCGACTTGTCCTCATCCGCCGGCTTTACCCTCCTCTCGGCGGCCAGCCCGGGGGGGCAAGTGAGAGGGGGCGGGCCTTCTCAAAAAGGTTCGGACGTACCCCAGCTTTTCAGAATTTTCCGAAGCCTTGCCCGAACACGCAGAGCAACTTCTCAGAGGGTGCGAGGGCCTCCGGGAAGCCCCGCCGCCTTCTGAGAAGGCCTTCTCCTCCTCGCTTCCCCCCTTCGCTCGCCGCGGAGCTGCACCACCGTCCTGCCCTCGTCTCCGCCTCGGAGGCGCGCCGGCGGGCAGGCAGGACGCCGCCGGCGATGGGCCCTGCGGCCGAGCGCTTCCGGTCGGGCGCTGCCGCGCCCGTGTGCCGCTTCTCGGCGCGCCGTGGGGCGCGAAGCACCTCCGTGGCCTCGGCCTCGCGGGCCGGGCCCCGCGGGCCGCGACCCCGCGGCGGCGGGGCGTTTCTCTTTCCGCGGATGCCCCGCGCGGAGGGCATCCGTGCGACTCGAGCGGGGGATGCACTGCAGAGCTGATTCTCCCCGACATGCTTTCCTCGTCGATTCCATGGAAGAAGTAATTGCTCCGCAGATCTGCAAACACTCCACGTATTTGTCCTTGTCCTAGGTCCGATGGGGAAAATGAGGTTGTGGGTAAATTCATTATGTGGTCGATCCCCTACTCGAATGATCGCGTGTCCAGACCGGGAGGGCGCGCTCACGGACCTGCTGGCCGCTCGTGATCGCTTCCCCCCTCTCTCGCCGCCGGACACCTTGGATCCGCGCCGGGCACCCCTGGCGGCGCTTCCGGCGCTGCCCCTGGCGCGCTCCGCGCGTCGGGGGGGGGGGAGGACCAGCCCCAGTCCAAGACTTCCGCGCAGGTCGATCCCCTACTCGCATGATCGCGTGTCCGCGGGATCGTGCCTGGGAGTCCAGACCGGGAGGGCGCGCTCACGGACCTGCTGGCCGCTCGTGGCCGCGGCCGCGCCCGTGCCGCCCGCGCGGGCGCGGGCGCAGCGCCCGGGGCCAGGGCACCCGGGGCGGCGAGGGGCCCGCCGCGGGGCAGCGGAGGAGGGAGGGAGGGAGGGAGGGGGGAGGGGAGGAGGGAGGGAGGGAGGAGGGAGGAGGAGGGAGGGGGGAGGGAGGGGGGAGGGAGGGGGGAGGGAGGGGGAGGGAGGGGAGGGGGGAGGGGGAGGGGGAGGGAGGAGGGGGCCCAGGTACACCGTGCTGGAGCCTGTGGGGCAGGGCGCCTACGGCATCGTGTGTGCCGCGCAGGCCGGCGCGTCGCCCGTGCGCCCACCGCGTGGGGCTTTGTATTGTGGAGACCTTGCAGCCGGTGCCGCCGACCCTACAGGGGGACGACGACGACGACGACGGCGACGACGACGGCGACGACGACGACGACGACGACGACGACGACGACGACGACGACGACGACGGCGCTTTGGCCTCTTGGGTGCTCTTGGGGCTCTCCTGGGCCTGGAGCCAGTGGGGCAGGGCGCCTGCTTCACCGTGTGTGTGTGTGTGCCGCGTATAGGCCCGCGCCTCGCCCCCGCGCCCACCTCGCGGGGCGGATGTGTCGGGCCGGGCGAAAGGGGGGGATTGGGAAAGGGGGGGTTACGAAATCTGCTGCATGCAGCTGGTTTCGGCCTCACCGATGGGCCCATTCCTCGATACATAGCCGCCTCTGGCGCCGGGAGGCGCCGGGAAAATCAGCTACGTGAGCTGATCCTCAAACCCCCCCTTTGCTATCCCCCCCTTTTGCCCGACCCGATCGATGTGGCCGATGCAGTTTGGCATCGACCTTCGTCAGGAGGGGGAAAAACACACAGACACAATTCATCGTCGACTCCCAGAAAATAGGGGAAAAGATGGGAAGTGAGGGGGAAGACAAAAACCCGGCAAATATGGGAAAATATGGGGGATATGTTTCTTTGTGTGTCTTTACTTGTGTGTCTCAGTTCCCCTTCACTTCGGACAGCCCGATCCGACTCGGCGCTGACGTGCCGACGATGCGACGCGGCCCTGTGCTTCGGGGCGGCACAGAGGGGTTGGTGACTAGGGGGGTGGGGTATCACGGCCGGGGCCATGAGATCTGCCCGGATTTCATGGCCCCCCCTCTTCTTGTTTCGTCACGTCTCTTGCCCCCCCCCCCTCGTCCGCGCGCATGCCTGCGGCCCTGATTTGCGCTCCCCCTCTCGGATACCCCCCTCTTGGATGCCCTCCGAATATGTGCATGGCGCTGTTGTGCATCTAGGTGCGGCCGGTCTGATTTGAGTGCGATTCCGTACCGATGCAGCCCGATTTGTTCGATTCTGACTAATCCTGCCTCGTCGTACGTCGTGCGTCGTGCGTCGTGCGTGGTGTATCGTGCGTGGCACGTCGTGCGTGGCACGTCGTCGTCTTCTTCGTCGTCGTCGTCGTCTTCTTCGTCGTCGTCGTCGGCGGCGGCGGCGTTGTCGTTGTCGTCGTCGTCTTCGTCGTCGTCGCCTTCGTCGTCGCCTTCGTCGTCGCCTCCGTGCGTGGCATGCTGTTCGTTGTTCGTCGTGCGTGGGTACCTCCTGTGGTATGCCGTCCTTGGCTCGCTTCCATGCTGCTTGTATCCACGGCCGATTCTTCCTTAGCCTTGGCCCCGTCCCAGGCTTTCCCGCCTCCGTCCTGCGCCCTTGCAGCCCCCTTTCCGATTCGATCTTTGTTTTTCGATACCGATTTCGCCTGGCTCAATCGGATTCGTCTTCGATGTTCGGGAGATCGTAATCGGCCGATGCTTGCCCCCGTCTCAGTTGCGTATCCTGGTTCGGCCGAGTCGATGCGATTTCGATTCTGTGCCGATGCAGCCCGATCCGTTGCAGGGCTTCGATCGGATGTTATTCGGTGGTTCGATGCTCAGTACCCCCACCCTCGCCGTCGCCGATTTTCTTCGGTTGGTCCTGTCCTTGACTGTTCCTGGCCAGATCCTGCGCCCTGGCGCTCAGCTTCCAACATATTCCGACTTGTTCGACATAGTTGCCGTCTTCTCGGCTGTTTGATGTCTACGCGCTGGCCTCGTTCGTGTCTGCTGTTCACGCCGTTATCCGGTGCAGATGCGGTGATGTTTTGGTGCAGGTTGCGACGGCTTTTTCCAGTCGACTTTCCTGGCGCTTCTGGCCCTTTGGAGGGTGTCTCCTCTGCGCGAGTGCGCGCAAGGACGAGTTGACCCAGGAGCACATCGCTATCAAGAAGATCGAGAATGCTTTCGAGCACATCACGTGTGCGCCAGCACCGCATGCAAGCGAGATAAGGGACGATGCAGCGGTAATAACCATGACCACGGTGTAGGGAGGAGTCGCTGGAGTTGGCAGAACGATGCTGCCTAGAGGGGTAAGGCTGTGTTTTGAAGGCTTCCTTCCGTCATCGTCGGTTTGGTATGGGGTACTATTTGTACATGCATTTGTATATGTATTTGAACATGTATGTGTATATGTATATATAGATGTATATTTCTATATCTGTGCATTGACATAACTTTATATGCATGCGTATGTATATGCATACGCATATGCATATGTACGTGTACATGTACGGGTATATGCATATGTATGTGTGTGTATGTTTAGGTGTATGTGTATATATATATATATATAGGTACATGCATATGCATATGTATATGTATATATGTATATGTGTATATATATATGCGTATGCATGTGTATGTGTGTATGTATATGTGTATGTACATGTACATGTACATGTGTATGCACATGTATATGCTTATGTGTAGGTATTCGTGTATGCATATGTATATGTATATGCATACGCGTAGGTCGATGCATATTCATATTTATGTGTATATGTAAATGGCTGCTTATAGGCATTTGTGTACGTGTAGGCATGTGCATATGTATTTCCATATGTACATACACGTTTATATACAAGTATGTGTGTGTGTGTAAGAATATGCACGTGTATATGTACGTGTATTTGCATTTTGTATGTGGGCAATCACGATTCTACAAATGCATATGTTTGTGAATATGTATATGTATATGTTAGTGTATGTGTATGTGTGTGTATACGTATAGGTGTATGCTTCTATGTACGTATACGCGCACGTATTTGTACATGTATCTGTGCTTGCATATGTATATATGTGTGCTTATGTGTATGTTTATGTGCATGTGTAGGAGTATTTTTTTGTATCCGTATATGTGTACGTATATGTATATGCATAAGTACTTGTGTTTATATATGTCTGTATTTAGCCATACATGTATGCGTTTGTATGCCCATGCTTGTATGCGTGCACCTATATGTATGTGTATGTATATGTATTTATGTATATGTATATGAGTATGTCATTGTTTATGCATATCTATATGTATATGTATTCGCACATGCATTTTTCATGTGTATGTATATGTATATGTGCATGTCTAGTTACATGCATATGTATGTGTATAGGTGTATGTATATTCATACGTACATGCGTATGTCTAGGTCTCTGTATGTGTATGTGTATGTGTAGATGCAGATGTATGTGCATGTGCATGTGTATGTGTATGTGTATGTGTACATGAATATGTATGCATATACATGTGTATATCTTCATTTTTATGTATACGTATTCGTGCATGTAATCATTAGCATCTGAATTTGTGTATGTATTTGTATATGCATTTGCATATGTATGAGAACATTGATAGGTATTTGTATAGTTATATGTATATGTAGTTGCGTATGAATATGCACGTGTATGTGTATATTCATGCGTATATGTGTACACGTATGTATTTGTATGCGTACATGCATCGGTAAATGTGGATGTATGCGTTTATATATATGTATATCCTCATATATATGTGTATATATATATATATGTATATGTACATATGTATATATACACATATTTTATATTATATATAAATATTCATTTAGGTCATTGGAGCAGGCGGTCGGAGGGCGGCTAGTCATCGCAAGCAGGATGTTTTCGTGCTCGCTCGAACGATCCACTTCGATTGAGAGGAAGGGATTGCCCGTTCTTATCACTGTTTCCACCGTGCCTTCACGCCAGGAGGAAGGAGCGAGGGAGAACGGCCGACGATCATCTCAGAATGGCCTGAAGAGGGGCTCGACTGGAGAAGACAGAACACCGCGCCTGAGTCGTGGACAAGACCACTCTCGGAGGCTTGTTGGGGTCGATGCCTCTCGGGGGCTTCTGATGGGCGAGTGTGCTAGAAATGCCGCTGCCAACAAAAAGCAGCCAGGTCGCACGACAGGGACAGCGCGGGCGAGGGGCCGCAAGCCTGGAGGAGGGTCATCCGTGATCCGGAACGGAGTGGCCTTTCCCCCCCCTCCGGGACAGAACAGGAGTTGTTCACCCTCCCCTCCTCCCCCCTCCCTGCGTGACAGAAAGTCGCTTCTGCCAACTACATCGTTGCTTCATTTCGTCCTGCCCGACGGGTGCCCACTGGAGTGGCCGTTGGTGGACTTTTCAAGCGTCGGAAGGCCAGAGTAGTTTCAGGCGGTCACCATGTCGTGAAAGCCGCCTATCGGCCGTCCTTCTTAGCTGTCTTAGATCTCGAGCTTCGAGATCGTGCATCGCGAAGAGATCTCAAGCGAGAGCCAGCTATCGAAACTGATCTGACCTCCGTGGCTGTAGCCGTTGGAGGTTGCGAGCTGCACGGCCACGTGCTGCGAGGGAAGCTCAGGCGACGCGCCTGCGCCACCCTGCAGGTGCGCCCTGTGTGATGCGGCGAGGAGGGGCTACTCAGAGCTAACACCGACAGAGCTGGAGGGTGAGGAGGAGGAGGGTGAGGAGGAGGATGAGGACCAGGAGAGGGGACTGCAGGAAGAGGGAATGATACGAGGACGAGGGTGAGGAGGGGGAAAGAAAAGGAGGGATCATTGCCTCGACGAGGTTGATTCTGATGATGGTGGTGATGATGATGATGGTTATGCTACTGATGATTATGAAGAGGATTCTGATGCTTATGATCATTCTGATGGTGGTGGTGGTGGTGGTGATGCGGAGGCGGTGGAGGAGGAGAGGGGGGGAGGGTGGGCGAAGTGGAGGGATGGAATCATGGGGAGGAGGAGCGTGGATGGAAAGGGCTGACGGAGGTGGAGCGGGGGTGTTGGGGGTGGGGTGGGGGAGGTGAAGGATGGGAAGATTGGAGGGGATCGGGAGGTGGGAGTTGGAGAGGAGAGCCCCCCCCAGGCACCATTGATATCCCACTGGGGCATGCACCAGCTCCCGAGAGCCCTCAAAACCCCGCTTTCTTGCTCTGCAGCTTCATGCCACGGGCGCGCTCTATCCTTCAGTCACCTGCCACCCCAAGGGCGCAGCATCGTCACCAGCATCGGGTTGGTTGTCGTCGTCGCCGCCGTCGTTGTCACTGTTACTGTTATCGCCATCACCGTCACCGTCGCCATCGCCATCGCCATTGCCACCACCATCATCATGCCCTCACCACCAGCACCACCATCATCACCACCTCACGATGCATCATCACCCTCCCCCTCCCCCCTGCGCTCTCCTCCCTTGGCTCGGGCGGTTCGCTTCGTGGGGCGGGATACCGCCTGCCACCACTTGCCCCCCCGCCCCCCCCCGCCCCCGAGAACAGCGGGCTCCTCTCGTGGAAGGCGCAAGCACGTCGGTTAGGCACCTGCTTCGCAGGTGCCGATTCCTGCCCTTTTTTCACGAGCCTCGGTGCACTCGGCTTCCAACCAAACCTCTTCCTCCCTTCCTCCCTTCCTCCTCCTCCTGCTTCTGCTCCTGCTCCTGTTCCTCCTCCTCCTCCTCCTTCTCCTCCTCCTCCTCCTCCTCCTCCTCCTCCTCCTCCTCCTCCTCCTCCTCCTCCCCCCTTCTCATGTTTCGCCCAACATGCGGAGGGATAACTGTTGCACTCGACGCTAAGGCGTGGCCTTGAAGCTGTATTCCGTGAGAGCGACGACGAGGGCTTCTGCTCGCTGCGGCGCTGACCACCCCGCCTTTGGGGGCCCAGCCCTGCTCAACGTGGTGTCCATCCGTCCGTCCGTCCTCCTCGTCCTCCTCGCTCTCGCCCTCCCCCTCCTCCCCCTCCTCGCCCTCCTCTTCGCCCTCGAGCAGCGGTGGCGGGCCGAGCGGGAGCCGCGCCCCAGTCACGAAGCGGACGCTGCGGGAGCTGCGGATCCTGCGGCACCTCCGCCACGAGAACCTGATCGACGTGAGGCTCGGCCGGCCTCCGCCTCCTGCACCCTCCTGCGGCCTCCTGCTCCCTCCTGCTCCCCCCTCAGCCTTCTCCCTCCGACCTCCTCCTCCTCGTTCTCCTCCTGCTCGTTCTCCCTTGTCTTCTTCCTCCCTCTGCCCTTCTCCTTCTCCTCCTTCTCTTCCCTCTCTTCCTTCCCCCTCCCTCCTCGTCCTCCTCCGTTTTCTCCTTCTCCTTGTCCTCCTCCCTCCCTCCCTGCCCCCTCCATCATGCTCCTTCGCCTCCTCATCCCCCTTCTCTCTCATCTCCTTCTCCCTGCGTTTCGCTCTTGCACCTCCTCCCTCCCCACCCCTCCTCGTCCTCTTCCGTCCCTCTTCCCCGCGGACAGCTCCTCCTCGTCCTACCACCAGGCGTGCTGGGCCATGGAACGTGTTTCTTTATTGCTTGGGGCGTAATGGGTATTATAGCTCCGGGCCCCCCTCCCCCCCTACGACGTCACGCCCCTCCCCCCAGTGCGCTTCGGGCACTGCCGCCGTGCGCACGGCGGGGGGGAGGCGTTACATTATTTTCATACCAACCAGTGTGATCTCGCACTGCATTATTTCGACCGACCATGCCTGGGTGTGCTGGGATGTGTCGGTGTATTGCCTCGGTGTGCTGGTGCTCGTGTGTTGGGTTCAGCGTTCTGAAATGTGTCGGACGTAATTGGGGGGGTACTCTGCGGGCTGGGATGCATGCGGGATGTGCTGGAACACGTGCTCGCCGTGGCTCCCCTGGGCGTGCTGGGATGTGAGCTGGCATGTGTCGGTTCGCGCTGGGGGTGCTCGAATGCGTGGGCGTTGGGCCCAACCGTACCCGCCCCCGCTGCCCGACCCGGTTCTCCGCTCCCCCCCCCGCCACCCGGCCGCGCTCCCCCCCCTCCGCGGCCCGACCCGTGGCCCCCCCCTCCCCCCCCCCCCCCCCCCTCCTCCTCCCCCTTGTCTCGACCGGACCGTGCCTCCCCTCTCCCCCCTGTCCGCCCCCCGCACCCCCCCCACCTTGTTCCCGCCGGCTCTGCCCCCCCCCCGCTGCACGAACCGTGCCCCCCTGGCTCCCCCCTCCCCCCGCCCCTCCTCACCATAACCCGACCGACCGTGCCCCCCCCCCCTTCCCCCTGTGGCCCCCTTGATCTGTTCCGGCCGTGCACCCCCCGTCTGCCCGACCGCCGTCCGCCCCCCGCCCCCCTCCCATTTCGCCCCCCAGGCCTTCCCCGCCCCCCTCCTCGATCCGACCGACCGCGCCCCCCCCTTCCCCCCGCTGCCCCCTCCCCTGATTCCGACCGCCCGCGCCCCCCTCGGCTTCCCGATTGTGCCCCCCGACCGGCTCCCGCGCACCGTTGTCGTATTCCGACCCTCCTTCCCCCGTGGCCCTCTCCCCACTATACAGGCCGACCGTGTTTCCCCCCCCGCGTCCGACTGTGGCACCCCGCACCCCTCCCCGCCCCTGTCGCCTTAGTCCGACCGATCGGCCCCCCCCCCCTCTGGCCCCCGTGGCCCTCCCTCCCTTTCTTCCGTCCGACCGTGCCCCCCCTTGCTGCCGGACCGTGGCCCCCCGCTCCCCCTCCCTGCCACCCCCTCGGATTAAATCCGACCTGCAGTGCTCCCCCCCCCTTCCGCCCCGTGACCCGCCGCCCTCTACTCCAACCGGCCGTGCTCCCACCCGCCCTCCGCTGCCCGACCGTGCCCCTTCGCTCTCCGCCCGCCCCCATTCCTCTGATTCCGACCGACTGCCCCCCCTCATTTTGTTGTTGTTGTTGTTGTTGTTGTTGTTGTTGTTGTTGTTGCTGTTGTTGTTGTGGTTGTGGTTGTGGTTGTGGTTGTGGTTGTGGTTGTTGTTGTTGCTGTGGTTGTGGTTGTGGTTGTGGTTGTGGTTGCGGTTGTGGTTGTTGTTGTTGTTGTTGTTGTTGTTGTTGTTGTGGTTGTGGTTGTCGTTGTTGTTGTTGTTGTTGTTGTTGTTGTTGTTGTTGTGGTTGTGCTTGTGGTTGTGGTTGTTGTGGTTGTGGTTGTGGTTGTGGTTGTGGTTGTGGTTGTTGTGGTTGTGGTTGTTGTTGTTGTTGTGGTTGTGGTTGTGGTTGTGCTTGTGGTTTTTATTGTTATGGTTGTGGTTGTGGTTGTGGTTGTTGTTGTGGTTGTTGTTGTTGCGGTTGTTGTTGTAGTTGTGGTTGTGGTTATGGTTGTGGTCGTTGTTGTTGTGGTTGTTGTGGTTGTTGTTGTGGTTGTGGTTGTGGTGGTTGTTGTGGTTGTTGTTGTGGTAGTTGTTGTTGTGGTTGTGGTTGTGGTATTGGTTGTAGTTGTGGTTGTTGTTGTGGTTGTGGTTGTGGTTGTGGTTGTGGTTGTGGTTGTGGTTGTTGTGGTTGTGGTTGTTGTTGTTTTTGTTGTTGTTTTTGTTGTTGTGGTTGTTGTTGTTGTGGTTGTGGTTATGGTTGTTGTGGTTATGGTTGTGGTTGTGGTTGTGGTTGTGGTTGTTGTTGTTGGTGTTGTTGTTGTTGTGGTTGTTGTTGTCGTTGTGGTGGTTGTGTTGTGGTTGTTGTTGTGGTTGTGGTTGTGGTTGTTGTTGTTGTGGTTGTGGTTGTGGTTTTGGTTGTGGTTGTGGTGGTTGTGGTTGTGGTTGTTGTTGTTGTTGTGGTTGTGGTTGTGGTTGTGGTTGTGGTTGTGGTTGTGGTTGTGGTTGTTGTGGTTGTGGTTGTTGTTGTGGTTGTGGTTGTTGTTGTGGTTGTGGCTGTGGTTGTGGTTGTTGTTGTTGTGGTTGTGGTTGTGGTTGTGGTTGTGGTTGTTATTGTTGTGGTTGTGGTTGTGGTTGTGGTTGTTGTTGTGGTTGTTGTGGTTGTGGTTGTTGTTGTAGTTGTGGTTGTGGTTTTGGTTGTGGTTGTTGTTGTTGTCGTTGTTGTTGTGGTTGTGGTTGTGGTTGGGGTCGTTCTTGTTGTTGTAATTGTGGTTGTGGTTGTAGTTGTGGTTGTGGTTGTGGTTGTTGGTGTGGTAGTTGTTGTTGTGGTTGTGGTTGTGATTGTTGTGGTTGTGGTTGCGGTTGTGGCTGTTGTTGTTGTTGTTGTTTTTGTTGTTGTTGTGGTTGTTGTGGTTGTTGTTGTTGTGGTTGTGGTTATGGTTGTGGTGGTTATGGTTGTGGTTGTGGTTGTGGTTGTGGTTGTTGTTGTTGTGGTTGTTGTTGTTGTGGTTGTTGTGGTTGTGGTTGTGGTTGTTGTGGTTGTTGTGGTTGTTGCTGTTGTTGTGGTTGTGGTTGTGGTTGTGGTTGTGGTTGTTGTTGTTGTGGTTGTGGTTGTGATTGTTGTGGTTGTGGTTGTGGTTGTGTGTTGTAGTTGTGGTTGTGGTTGTGGTTGTTGTGGTTGTTGTTGTTGTTGTTGTTGTTGTGGTTGTGGTTGTGGTTGTGGTTGTGGTTGTTGTTGTTGTGGTTGTGGTTGTGGTTGTGGTTGTTATTGTTATGGTTGTGGTTGTGGTTGTGGTTGTGGTTGTGGTTGTTGTTGTTGCGGTTGTTGTTGTAGTTGTGGTTGTGGTTGTGGTTGTGGTCGTTGTTGTTGTGGTTGTTGTTGTTGTGCTTGTTGTGGTTGTTGTTGTGGTTGTGGTTGTGGTTGTGGTTGTTGTTGTGGTAGTTGTTGTTGTGGTTGTGGTTGTGGTTGTGGTTGTAGTTGTGGTTGTGCTTGTGGTTGTGGTTGTGGTTGTGGTTGTGGTTGTGGTTGTTGTGGTTGTGGTTGTTGTTGTTTTTGTTGTTGTTTGTTGTTGTTGTGGTTGTTGTGGTTGTTGTTGTTTTGGTTGTGGTTATGGTTGTGGTGGTTATGGTTGTGGTTGTGGTTGTGGTTGTGGTTGTTGTTGTTGTGGTTGTTGTTGTTGTGGTTGTTGTGGTTGTGGTTGTGGTTATGGTGGTTGTGGTTGTGGTTGTTGTTGTTGTTGTTGTGGTTGTGGTTGTGGTTGTGGATGATGTTGTGGTTGTGGTTGTTGTGGTTGATGTTGTGGTTGTGGTGGTGGTTGTTGTGGTTGTGGTTGTGGTTGTTGTTGTGGTTGTGGTTGTGGTTGTGATTGTGGCTGTGGTTGTGGTTGTGGTTGTGGTTGTTGTGGTTGTGGTTGTTGCGGTTGTTGTTGTAGTTGTGGTTGTGGTTGTGGTTGTGGTTGTTGTTGTTGTCGTTGTTGTTGGTGTTGTTGTGGTTGTGGTTGTGGTTGTGGTCGTTGTTGTTGTTGTTGTGGTTGTGGTTGTGGTTGTGGTTGTTGGCGTGGTAGTTGTTGTTGTGGTTGTGGTTGTGGTTGTGGTTGTAGTTGTGGCTGTTGTTGTGGTTGTTGTTATTGTTTTCGTTGTTGTTGTTGTGGTTGTTGTTTTTGTTGTTGTGGTTGTGGTTATGGTTGCGGTGGTTATGTTTGTGGTTGTGGTTGTGGTTGTGGTTGTGGTTGTTGTGGTTGTTGCTGTTGTGGTTGTGGTTGTGGTTGTTGTTGTGATTGTTGCGGTTCTGGTTGTGGTTGTTGTTGTTGTTGTTGTGGTTGTGGTTGTGGTTGTGGTTGTTGTTGTTGTGGTTGTGGTTGTTGTTGTGGTTGTGGTTGTGGTTGTTATTGTTATGGTTGTGGTTGTGGTTGTGGTTGTGGTTGTGGTTGTTGTGGTTGTGGTTGTTGTAGTTGTGGTTGTGGTTGTGGTTGTGGTTGTGGTTGTGGTTGTTGTTGATACAGGCGGGGCAAGCCCCCCCGGGGGGGGAGGGGGGGAGAGGGGGGGGGGGAACAACACAACACAACACAACGCACCCCTACAGGAGGATCCTGTGGGATCCGTACAGGGTTCCATAGGATTCCCACACGACCCTTACAGGGTTCCATAGGACGCCCATAAAACCCCTACAGAGTTCCATCGGACTCCCATTCGACCCCCACAGGGTTCCATCGGAGTCCCATAGAACCCCTACAGGGTTCCATCGGACTATTTCGGCGCACCCCTCACGCGGCTCGTGGCCCTACAGGGGGCGCAGCCGAAGGCTTCGGGACCATTTCGGCGC